TATCCAAAATAAAGCTCATGCCAATGGCCTAAGTGGTCACCTTTAATATTAAAAAAAAAAAAAAAAAAAAAAAAAAAAGAAGTTTCCGATTATTCAATAGTATGTGCGTTTAAACAATGTATTACTTTTCGCTAAAAGCCAATTTGTAACTAAGGTTTGTTCAAATTAAATAGAAATTGCTTTGCGCATGGGGTTCTAAAAATGCGCATGCCAAGTAAACTTTACTGAAATATGTATTTTTTTAAAAAAAATTTGACAGAATATTATTCATACTATATATTCACGAATAGTCATATGGTTAAAGGCTATGGTAATAGCAATTTTTTGTAAGCTTGCTAGAAGCTCTTCGTATAAAGGAATATTATTGGTAGTCTATTTATAGATCACTAATAAACTATATAATAAACCGATTTTTTAGAGTTTTTTTAATTAAAATTGGGCGAACCAACTTGTAAAGCAAAATAATTCCCAGGTTAAAATTTCTCATAATAATCGTTCTATTTTTGTCTGAGATACTGAAGAACTATCTATTTTACCTAATCATGAACTTATCGAAGATGCATGTCAAGATCGAAATCCTGTTTATATTAAACTACAAGTACCTGAAATTACTGCCGATATTAATGAACAAAGTTTAGTTTCTTTAATTTCGGGTTACCTTATTTTTATTTTTTTGGGAGGAGTTTATTGTTCTGTAAAATTGGGTTGGAATTCTGTTAGACAGACTATATTATATGAATGAACTCAATTCGATGATTCATCTTTTACTAATGCAACACAATCATTGGTATTCGAAAGCCAAAGCTCTCTTTCGTGTTATATTAAACATACCTTAAAATATAAAGGCGAAATATCATTACCATGGTTACTTGGCTTTACTAATACTGAAAACATTCAATTTTTACGTGGATATATTGGAAGCTATTTTACAACCATTTTTAATATAGAAAAACAATTTTATCAAGAAGAAAAAGAGATAACACGATTAATAAATCTGGGAAAACGAGTAGCTAATTCTAATAATTATGATCAACAAAGTTTTAAAAAAAGGGCGACTCAGTTAAAAAATAAAAATTGGAAAAGTATGCAACAAATTATTCACGGTTTGGGGCAAAAATTAAAAAATACTACTTCTGAATTACAAAACACACGCAAAAGATTATACTGATCACAGAAAAAAGTTTTAACTTTACAAGAGCTGTTAGAAAAAGAATCTGATTCATCAAGGTATATTATAATTTAAAATATATATATTTATTAATTAAAATAAATTTATATAATTATTTTTTTAGTGAAAACAATGAAAATGAATCTAGTAGCGACGATGAAATTCAAGAACCTAGAACAAGAGACCAAAAATTTCAAGAATTAATGCAATCTCTTATCTCTAAAGGAAGATTAGGTTCAAGTCTTTTTATAAGCACCAAATTGTTTCTTACCTATATATTAAATCAAAAATGCCCCACTTGTCAAAATGATAATATAAAGAAAAAAAAATCATAAAATAAAAGTTATAGGATTATCAGTAAAAATTATAATTACCTGTCATCGATATCAAACAAAAACTTTTTATGGAAATGAAAAATATGGAATCGAATTTTCAGACTTAGTAGCAGCCGTAGGATTAGCTGGTGGTAATAATCATGAAGAGTGGTCAACAATGTTGTGTTTGTGTAGAATAACACGTCAAAATGGAAAATCACAATATTTTCAAAAACAAGAAAAATTTTTTAAAGAAATAAAAATTGCCACAGAAGAGAGTGCAAATAATGCATTGCATGCAGCTTGCAAAGAGATTATCGCAGAAAAAAATGAAATCTTGGAAGTAGGATTTGATTGTTTATGGAGTAAAGTTAGAGAAGCTCCTCAAGCAAGTGCAGAATTCATATATAATAGAACACCAGAAGGTAATAAAATTAATGTTAAATTTTAAATAAAAGTAAAAATTAATTAAATTATATTAGGATTTCGACACAAACCTATCATCGCATTTAATGTAGTAGAAAAGCCTCGCATTTATAATAAAAATGAAAAAGAAATAATAGTTAATGAAGGAAATTACAATAATAGCAGCTGACAAATGGAACATGCAAACCTTATTGAAATTATTAGCAAAATTACACCTACTCTTTATGAGTATAATATTACATTAAATGTTGGTATTGATAGTGACTTAAATACTAACAAAATATTGTATGAAGAAAAAATAGTTCATAAAATTTTTGCAGATCTAAAGCATAAATCGAAAATCCTAAGAAATAAAATAGGTAAAAATTAATTATAAATATAAGGCCATACAAACTTAATTAATGGTTCTCATAATCTGACCGGGTCAAATTCAACAAAATTTTGAAAAAATTTTTTACTATATTTACTATCCGAGTGAAGTTTTTTAAATTTTTGTAAAAAATTTTATATGTTTTTTACATATAAAATTTTTTGAAAATAAAATTAAAAACCGGGTTGCCGGGTCATTTTTAAAATTTTATATTATGAGAACCAAATAATTAATTTTATATAGCCTAAAATATTAATAATAATAAAAAAATTATTAACTTATCATAATCTTAGTCAATCAAGAAAGGTGGAAATGATTTGAGCAGCCAATAATGAATTTTTATACCAAAAGCGTTTATGCTGCTGTTGCACGAAAGCAAAACCCTGATACTATATCACCAACCGACGATGATCTATATGTAATGCAAAGTGAAATATGTGTGGACCATCTCCTTGATAATCATAATAAGTGCTGGGCCGAAATTTGCTTGAAGGTTCAAAATCCTAAACTTTTCTTAGCAAATCCTAATTTAATCAGATATACTGAAAGTCAAGCAAATGCTCTTAAAGAATTTTTAAAAAAACATACTAAACTTCTACCAAAACAAAGTTTAATAACGACTATACGAACCAGTATGAATGAAGTATTTAACCATGTGAAATTAAACTATGCTGATAAAAAAGTTGATTTTGCAAAGTCTTTTTCTGCTCGGCATGGGCTTGCAGTTTTGCATAATAATAATGGCCTTTTAGAAATGCTAGAAGTTGTCAGACGGGCAAGAAATCTTTCAGAATTTTCTAAAGAAGATCAAGTTAATATTGGAAGAATCTGGAAACAAAGAGAAGACAAAAGTAAATGTAATATTGCAGAAATTAATAAAAGAAATGTTCTACGAGCTAAAAAAATTGAAGAAACACGAAAACAAATAGAAGAATTTGATTTTTCAAAGGTATAATTAACGTATAGTAATCTATTAAAATAATATAATAAAATAAATAATTAGTCTGAGTTTTTAGAATTTGATACCTTATAGAATTAAAATTAAAGATAATATAATAAATCAAGAATTTCGACCTTCTTTTGCAAACTTAATACCTGACTTTGATGGTTTTATTCTTTGTGAAGGATATAAATATTTTCCAAAACAATCTCTAAAAGGATTATGTCGTTTATGTTATTTCTATAATGAATACAGATTATCTTCTTATATTATAAATTCAAAGTTCCATAAAATTGACGAAGATCTAACAATAATGCCCACAGAGTTAATTAATTCTATAATCACTAATTTTTTTAAATTTGATAGTTATCGAGAATTTCAACGAGAAAGTATAGAATCATTTCTTAAAAAACAGGATACTTTAACAATTTTGCCGACAGGAACTGGAAAAACTCTTATTTTTTCTGCTACGAGTATATTAACAAAGGCTCTAACAATTGTTTTTACACCTTTAAAAGCAATAATAGAATGTCAGTTAGTAAGTAATTAATTTGAAATTTTATAAAAGTCGAATATAAATACTATAGTATTTATATCTAACTTTTATATAAAAACTAATTCGCTAATTTATAATTGGTTTTAATCTAAGCGTGAACTAGTAGAAATGGGTGTTCCTGCTGCTAAAATATATGCTGCTCAGATCAACCCTTGGAAGAACAAGAAAAAATTTTTGGCGAAGTTGCAGCAGGAATAACTAAAGTTTTGTGGATAACACCTGAAAAATTTAGTAAAAGTCTAAAATTTCGTAAATTCTTAAATAATGTGTCTCAAACACACGGCATACAATTCGTTATTGATAAGTCTCACTGTGTTTTAGAATATGGATATTTTAGGTTAGTATTATACTGAATTTTTTTAAAAAAATTCATATTATCTAATAAAAATACTTATAGACCTGCGTGGACCAAATTGGAACAAATAAAAGATAAGTTTCCCCTTTTGCCAATTCTATTATTAACTGCAACTTGCTCTTATGAAGGAGCATCAAAACTTGCTATAATTTTAAAAAGACCTAATTTGAAAGTAATTCAAAGTTCTTAGATATATCGACCCCAGTTAGTATTCGAAACTTAGTTAAAACTATCAAAAAAAAAGGATATAATAGAAATAGTATATAAAAATATAAGACAGAACAATAAAGGTCGAGCAATTATATATACATCAACTCCTAATAAATGCATAGAAATTTTTAACGGTCTTAAAGAATATGTGGATTCTAATAATCTTGGTATATATCATGGAAAAATGCATAGTGCAGACCAAAAAATAACTCTAAATTCGTGGAACCAACAAAAATTAAATATATAGTTGCTACAAATGCTTTTGGTATGGAAGTTCATATATCAGATGTTCGAATTATTATTCATACTACTTTTCTATTATCAACAATGAATTTTGTACAAGAAGTTGGACGAGCTGGTAGAGATGGACAACAAGCTAAAAGTATAGTTTTGTATTCACGTTCTGATATTCGTGAGTTGTTATTGATTGTTGGTGAAAAAATTGAAAAGTAAAGTATAAATAAATATTAAATGAGTATCGCAAAGAGAAAACTTGCAAATCTTACAAAATTGCAAGTTTTTCTTTTGTGGCACTCAAATGTGTAACAAGTTATAAATTAATACAATATATTTTATTTTTTATTTTTCAGTACTGATGAAACACAAACAGTTCAATATAACTACTTGGAAAAAATGAAAAAAAATATATTCGTAATGGCTTATACCTTTGAAGATTCTTACCAATGTTATCGAAAAATGGCATATGAACCATTTAGATGGCCTGAAGATCCCGAAATTTCTGAATGTGGTATTTGTGATAATTGTAAAAGATGCATTGTCAATGAGATTATTTGGCGTGATATTAGTAAAGATTTAATTCAGATTTTAGATACGGTGGATAAGCTATTAAAATTCTCAAATGATCTGACAACACAATTAGTAAATTTTGGACGTGATGATATTGTAGATGTTTTTATGAAAGCCAAAAACAAAAATGCTAAAGAAAAAAACTTAACTTTCTTATAGGAAAACGATACTGACAAGGTTAAATATGATATTATTCAAACTAGGAATATATGTTTGCATGCTATAGATCGGCTTTGTGTAGAGGAATTATTAGTTCAAAATGTAGTAATTAAACCAATACGGCCAGGTTCCTCAACGGTGATTTATAGCTCTCATATTTCTGGAATTGCACCAGACGCAAGACAAAAAATACTTGAAAATTCGTGGTTAGAAGCATTTATACCATGTTAGTAAATATATAAATATTTGATTGGCTAAAATAAAATTACTATTTTTATCTTGGTTATACAAATAATCTACAACCTGCAGCTATACCGTTATTAGATTATACTGTAAATCACATAAAATACCCTACCCTTAAAGAACTCATTGGTTATAAAAATAATAATCCTCCATTCGACAAAATCTCTCTTGACTTATCAAAGACTATACGATCTTTCTGAGCTAAATTTACTGGAAATGTACCTATATTATGTTGTTTTGCAATGAAAGTTCTTGCTATTGTCACTCACAGTGCTGGCTATGAATGGCTTTTTTCATCACTTGGCCTAGTAAAATCAAAAAGTCAAAATAAAATTACATCAAACAATCTTTCTATTCTTGAGTAGCTCAGAAATGAGCTCAAGAAAAAAGTACTTACCAAAAACAAGAAACATAGAACTATTTCTAAGCCTTTAATCAACAGCAACAAAAATTTGGAGATCTTCTTTGATGAGGAAAATGAAATATTAAAAGATTTAGATAAAGAGCTAGAAGAAATAGTTGTAGAAAATGAAGCATTTTTTATAGAAGAACTTTTTGATCTTGAAATATTTGAAAGAGATCAAGAAGTATTAAAAAACTTGCCTCAGGTTAATGTAGAACAAGATCTGTCTCTAAAAGAGGATTGGTCTGTTGATGACATTATACTTGAAAACCTATAGATTTATATATATTTTTTATAAATAAAGAAATTTTTTTTAACATACTGAACTGTGATCCTGCATATACTAATTAATCTATATCAGGTGTTATAATAAAATTAATAATACAGATTTTATACATAAATCAGCAAAATCGATAGATTAGATTAGTATTTAAAAAATCGCTTCACCTTATGTATTAATAATTTTTTTTAGCCAATTTTTGTGGCAAATGGTTATTATGATGCTGTAAAAAGAAGTTACGGTTTTATAAAAGTTAATTCGCAATAAAATTCACTTTTTAATTAAAAGTTTATATATAAAATTTAAAAAATCTTTAATTAAAAATATAAAACCATAACTTCTTTTTACAGCACTATAATAATCATTTTCCACAAAAGTTGATTGAAAAAAATTGTTAGAACATGAGGACTAATATTTTCTATCAATTTTGTATAAAATCTGTATTATTTTACTGATTAATTAGTATATGCAAGACCCAGTACTGTATGGACATACATATGTATTACTAGTTATATATAAAAGTTACATGTGATTTATCTGTAGGGGCATGCCCCAGGCACGATAAGAAGGGCATGCCTTGGTTCGAGGCATGCTCGAAAGGGCATGCCCAAAAAATTTCCTGTGCCTGCAACTCTAGTTGTAACTACTATTGAACTTTTGTTTTTGCTATTTTGTTTCATAAGTATACATTTGGCTATTTTTCTTTCTTTTGGTGTCTCAGTTTTATTTAGTGCTTTTTTACCTTTGCTTATACTTTTGTTATTTTTTTTATACTGAAATATAACATTGAAGGCTCTTTTCTGTTTGAAGACTCTATATATAGATACTACTTTAGCTTTGTGTTAAAATAATATAGAGTGGAGTTATAAACTTGTAGAAGATCCTTTTTTGATTTAAAATATATATAAGCTCTTTTTCTTTAGTTGCTATTTTGGTTGCTCAAGATATATATAGCTTGAACTTTGTATTTTTTAAGTTAGCAAAGCAGTAGGTTGTTATATACTATTGTTGGTATATTGGTAATTGTGTTTTTATAGTTGTTTTTTACTTCTAATTTTGTAATAATAAATTTGTTTAGAGTAGTTTAGTATGTTTTCTTATAACTTAAGTGTATTGACCAACTCTCTTTTAATGACTTATCTTTTTGATTTGAGCTTGGCAAAATTTTTATAAAGGCTGCTTTGGTTTTGAAGTTCTGTTACTATACGAGAATTGTTGCTATGCTAAAGAAACTCAAATAAGACTTAATTGTTGTATTTATCTCTTTTGGAAGGTTTTAGATCATAAATTAATATGTTAATAGAGAAAGGTGTTTTTGTATTAAAATCTTGTTTTTTGGAGCCCAGGCTAAGTTATAGATGTTTTTATACTGTTTGGGTTTTTTGTATCTAGTTTGTGAAGAAATCTTTGTATTTGTTTAGATTTTTTTCTTTATAATCATCTCAAAACTATAATCAAGTACTCTGCACTCCTCTTGGATTAAAGTATTCTTAGTTATTTCTAGTTTGTTTGCCCAAGTATGTAGTAGAAATTCCTGTTTTGTAATATCTCACTTTCAAGAGTTGCTTTAAAATTCTAATTCCAAATTGCTATTTGTATTATTAGTCTCTACTAACTATATTATTAAAGAGATTTCTATAAAAACTAATTTAGTTTTTAATTAGATTCTTTTTGTATTATTTTGGAGTATAAATGAATCTGCAGCATGTTCTAGTGTATTTACTTTCTTGGTTTTAATACTGTTGAAAATCTCTTCTGTTGTTCTAGTAGGTGTTGTATATATTTTTTCTATAAAAAGAGGTTCAATTTTGATTTTGGTATCCCTTAATATGTAAACCAATGCAGGCAAATTTGCCTGCGTTTTTGCACTTTTTTAGCTCTGATTTACTTTTTTAAAATGCTAAAATAT